GGTTAGCTCTCTTGGGCTGGTTTTCAGAAACTGACATTAGAATAAATAAATAAAAAAGATACATTTTATGTATTATTACAAAACAGGATAAAATCCCAATAATATACTTAGACGTTTTTGGCTCTCATGTGACAATATTTCAAAGTGTTCGTTTTTTGAAAGCATAAAGAAAAATTAGGCTTACCCATTTAATACGGAAGAAACCGCTTTTGTATTTTTGGAGTCTGGCAAGGAGAGAGGAGAAGCAGCGACGCCGACACCCCCAGAAGGTATTTTTACGGGAGTGACGGGTCTAGGGATTCTGCTCCTGCACTCTTTGGACCCTTGTTCTTCTGTGGGTTTGAGACGGGAGCTCCTTCTGGATTCGTCCGAGGTATGCATGTCCTCCTCTGAGCCCGTCATGGATAAAGTCTCAGAAACTCTCAGGCGCTCGTCGTCTCCAGAGGACAAGGACGACGAAGTCCCGGACAGCATCCGCCTCCTCATCCAGCGACCCTGTTGCTTCTGAACCAGCAAGCGAGCCAGGTCGAGCTGTCTCGCCCGCTGCTGAAGCCGAACTCGAGCCGAAAAGGAAGAGGACTGTTCTGAGCCTGAATCCTCTTCAGAGATAAGAATGGGGATTCTGCTTCGGATTTTGGGCTTAGCACCAGCCGGCAGCTCTGCTCCAGCAGCCTGAAGCGTTAAACCGTCCTCACTGGAGGAAAGCTGTTTCTTAGCTTCATGGGGTTGATCCTTTTGATCGTAAACTGGTGAGGTGTCTTTAGAGGCAGGCTCCAAAGACATGGCGAAGATGGCTGACGGACCATTTTCAGTTTTTGGTTGCTTATCTTCTGTACTGGATTTGTCTGGCTCAGGCTCCTCTGCAGCCTCTTTGGGCAGTGGTGCGTCCTTCTGCTCATGGGTTTCAACCTCTGCAGCCAATTCCCTCGTGAGAGCAAAGTCTCCCAGGTCAGTTTCTTTAGCGGAGTGACCGTTGGAAGACATAATATTGAGGTGTGATGTCTCTGCAATATGAATGAAAGTGCGCTCAACTTTGGTGAAGGGAGGTGATCCGGGAGCAATGGGAGTTGAGGGTCTCAGTTCTGACCTGAGGGCTGGAGACAGGCGGCCAGTTTCAGAGAGTTCAGGCTGAATCCCCTCCCCTGTCAGTAGGCGGTCATTACGAGAATTTAGACCGGAGGGTGTCCCCAATTCCCCCTCGAGAACATGTTCCCCACCACAGGGGGACTTGCGAGTGTCTCCAGGTGAAAACAGAACAAGAGTCTTTGACGCGTCCTCCAGGTCCGGATCTGCATCAGCGGCCGACGCGTGCTCCTTCTGTCCTCTCTGGTCCTCCGCCATGAGCGTCGAGGGTGCAGCATCCTGGCTGCGTTCAGTGCTTTTCTGACTGGCCTCGCTGTTGGAATCGCTTTTAGTAACGTCATCGTCCTTCGGCCCAAGAGGTTCCTGGACCTCTTCGTCCGGCGTGGCAAAGCTCCTACGCTGAGGCAAAGTACCCGTCAACATGACAGTGAGGAAGTCTGCCCTCTTAGCCTGCAGCTGAGGAAGGATGTGGAAGTGCTCCATCTCATCGCCTTGACCCTTTGTTCGATAGTCAGGAGAGGATGGCGACGGGATGCTCTGCTCTGTAGGTGACAACACCTGGAAAAACAAACAAACAACAACATCTTATTACAATGGACTCAATTTAAACTAGATTTAAGGCAACTCTGATTGAAAGATTGGCGTGCGGGTGGGGAGGACAATCCCTGTCTTCTAGGAGCCCTTCAATAGCCCTCAATAGCCAGGGTTTGCCTCTAACCAAGGTTTGCAGCTGTTTCCTTTTTCCAACCACTGCGAGCCTGGTTTACGGTCATTAGTAGCCTCATACATCCAGCTAAAAGTGTTTTCAGGAACTATTCTAGGACACCACAAAACAGGGTTTACCTGGAAGGGAACTGGACTTTTCAACACCTATCCAGGAATGCTTGTCTTCTGGAAATATGCTCACACTCCCGCAACAACATGATAAATGCAACATGATTGTGTAAATTCTCAGTCACCCGGGTCATGATATCCACAAAAACAAGCTTAAATTGGAAGGCAACTGAACTTTTGCTCGTTTTTTTTCTGAAGAAGTTTCAACACTAATCCAAGAGTCTTTATTCGAAGACACACATCTGTTAGAGCAAGATCAAAATCACAGCCGATGATCTTATATCTAATGTTCGGTAGGTACTGGTCATCATATTGTTGCTGAACACTGGAAAAACGATCTAGAAATAAGTGAAAATGTCTTAAATTAAGTGTATTTACCCTTCCTTTGAGTAAGTAAATGATATAGAACGCTTAATTTAATATCACATAATTAAATCTCACCATCAGCATCAATCACACACGTTTCTGCTCAAACTTTTTTTTCGTTGTGGGTCTTTGTAACAGGAATTATCATACTGTTAGAAATATTTTATTCATACTCCGTTTGTGTTTCATGGGTTGTGTACAAATGAACTATTATGATGTATAATGTGTGATTCATCGTTTATTAACTCTTGCTAAAGATCGTTCCAGATAAAGGTCATGCAACGGACGGGTTGTGAGGGAGGCCAGAGCATCCTCTATCACATGTTTCTTCTCAACATGTGTTCTTGGAAAAATTCAATTGTAAAACAACCACATGCTTTGTTTTAACATATGTGCTAAGGTTTAAAGTAAGATCATTTTGTGTCCCTTTCCTTAGTTAAACCTCAGCTTGTGTAATTAGGGACATCCCCTGACTTTAATAAATAGCGAGGAGAAAGTTAAAGACCGGCAGAGTGGGTTGGAGATTTGTAAAATCAGCAGTCTCTTCCTACTCTCCCGGCGAGTAAACTAAATTAATTGTCTCTGTGCCTTCTTTCTTTCTCTGTATGTATGTATGATGTTTTAGGTTCTTAGACTTGACACATACAAAGTTGGTTTGTTCTCTAACTCCAAACTCAGCATCTCTTCATCCTTGCCTGTGATAAGAAACTCCTTTTGAAGTTGTGAGATTCGCTCTTGGAAGGAATGGATTTGATTAAAGTTTTAAGTTTCTCGGTATAAAATAAATATTTCGATGGAAATTAGAAATCTGCTTGCTGCCATGTTAAAGTAACGGTAGTTTGCATCCAATAATTTAAATAAACGGTCTTAGTTTTCGGGACTATATGAGAATTATGCTCTAATTTGTAGTTACCAATCTGCCATTACTATATTTTAATTTGATAAACCGGATCTTCTCATCGTTCTTTTTCCAGTTTGGTGCAGTTGCACCTTGCCGGACAGAAGCGCAGCTAAAAATAGCTCTGCTACTTCTTTTGACGATGAAGGATGTAGAAGACGTACGAGGACAGTGATGTTTGAAGGAGTAGCGGTGGATGTGGAACTGTTCTCATTGATTAAAATGAGTGCGCAAGTCCTCTGCATGACGTACGTGAGCGGGGCGGAGGATGTGGGCCCTGGGCTCCTCCCACGTGCAGTACTTTCTTGTGAGTGGCTCATACAAGGGAGCTTTGTGATTGGTGGCAAACCATCCCTGCTTAAAAAATGCATTTTTGTATCGAGGCATGTCAGGGAAGTCTCAAAAATCCCCACAAAATGCAGTGAAGTTTAAGGACCAATTGTTTATGGACCAGAAATACTTTGGTGAATCTTGTCCTGCGTGTGTGTGGATCTTGTGTACATGTGTGGATCTTATCCTGTGCATGTAGGAATCACATATGTGTATTTGGAGTATTACGCCTTCTCTTGGATTTTCTTTGTTTCCGTTACTTCCTTGTTTAATGGCAGATTGGACTTCTGCAATCGCACACATCAAATGTGGCTTGGGTCTGGTCGCGAACCAGTTTTTGCTGGTATGCTTCTGTACCGTCGGTCTAGAATTTCTAGAGATGCATAGCAAGTTTCCCACCTAAGCGCAATGGGGAGCCTATTCAAGAACTCGCGAGAACTTCGGCGGATTGTACTTCCGAACCTCCTCGATTGACCTTTCATCATAGCTGTCCATTGTAGTTTTTCCTCGCTTTTAAAAAATGGCGCGCCCCAGCACCGAATAGAGAAGGATGACCACACAGACAGGCGGAAAGGCATACCAAGGACCAATCACAGCTGCTTTTGTCTGCGCACTTCCGCTTGAGATCTTCGTGGTTTTGGGACCGTCCGAAGCGTAGTCAGGATTCTTTTGAGGTGCGCAACGACTATTGCAGAACCTCTGTGCGGGAGGCGTGGTCGCGCACAGAGACAGATTTGACGGTTGCAGAGGCTATGCATCAGAAGCATATACTGACCTTTACTCACTGCACACATGCACAATATGGCACCTGCTGTCACATTGTTATGGAAACCCAGCTTTGTCTGGACGGGCTTAGACCACTTTATTTTTATTTTTTTTTAACTGACCATATATATGTTAACAAAAAGCAAGTAGTAAAAGTATGACACCTAGTGACGATCTGAGGTATTACTGCCAAGATTGAAGGAGCAGTTGGTGGCGGTAATGCACAAAAAGTTGTTTGCCAACCGCCATAAAACACAAGAAGAAGAAGACGAAGAAGGAGGTAATCAAGGAAATCAAAATGGCGTTGCCCGTCACATTCAGAAAGTTATTCTTGATTATTATTGCTGTACCTCGGTGTTATTATTCAAAATGCTATTATTTAAAATGTTACGTGGAGAAGATTTTGATTGTTGTTTATAACTGTTCTCCTTCTTCTGTTTTGTGTTGGTTGGCGAGCAACTTCCGGAGGGGCATTACCGCCAGCTACTGGAATGGAGTGTGAATCGCGATGTGCAGCCAGACGGAGATAACGCGTTCTGCTCATACGCTCTTGTTATCAGAGAACCGAGCCAGGGAAAAACCGAGCCGAGCCCACCTCTGGAACTGGTCTGCAGTTATCGCGGTTCGGTTGTGTCTAGCTCGGTTCGGTTCAGTTTGCTTTCCATTTACACACCATAAGTTATCTCAGTTACTGAGCTCGGACCGGTCTCGGCACGGTTTTTCCAGGGTAGTGTAAATGGGGTAAAGTGAATGTACCTGCCAATTGCTGGTGTTTTTTTTTTTTTTGTAGAATCACATTCTGAAATCTAAAGATACTTTTATTAATATAAGGGTCTTCAAAAAAAACTGACATCAACAAATCCATTTGCTCCAGAACCGTTTTATTTTCATTTTGGTTGTACACAAGCTTTTTCAAGATTGTCTAGATTACATACATTGATATAAAAGGCACAAAAAATGCATTGCAGAGCTTATCTTTAGCACAAAGTCTAATATCAGGTGATTTTTCAAGTGTTTCCCCTCAAAGATTCATCATACAGCCTGTACATACTTACTAAACCCCACTACCTATCATGCTATTAGAGTTTAACTGCAAACCTAATTCCTTACTACATTTCTGTATATATGTACACAGTTTATCGTTTGGATTTTAAAAAAGTTTAAAATACATGCTTTACCTGTAAATTATACAAGCTGGACTGTACAATAATACTGTGATAGAAAACAAATGCTTATACATGTTTTATACAAGTGAGAGACACTCACGGATCATTACACCAAACACGGTGAGCTCTTTAGTCATTTTTGCCTTCGACAAAGAAACTCGACTTTTATTGCGAGAACGTTTGAAGGGACAGTTGAGCACTTTTTTTGTTTTTTCTTTTATATAAAATCTTTGCGATTTCTATTGTCCATTCATTCACATAAGAACTTTGCCTTAAGGCTGTTTTAGGCGTACCGCAACATGACAAAAAGAGCTTTCACATCAGAAACGACTTCCTAACAGATCTAACTTCTATTTTCGATAAATAAGTGGAACAAGCGTTGAGTCGATGATGTAGATTTTGTGGAAAATTGTGAGTAAATGCAACAAAAAAGGAAAAAGTGTTGAATTTGTTTTCACTTTTACTCTACGATTGATTTATTTTACATGGAAACCCCATGGAGATCAGCACAAATATAAGCAAATATAAAGTAACAAAATGCTTTATTATTTATTTCTATAATTCCAGTATGTTTTATTGTGTGGTTAGAAAATTAGGAAAATGTTTCCCAAAACAGTTTGGTCCATTTACTGAACAAAAAAACAAAAAGATTCAAAAAGTACATTTCATTTGAAGTAGTGCTTAAATCTTTAATTTCTTTATGATTTTAAAACATTTTTAATCAACAAATGTTGGCGTACTTATAAAAACATATAATTTATAGTAACTTAATCTAAATAAACCTCTAATTTCTAGAGCCCTTTTTAAAAAAAATCTTTCGCAGTGCTATGTTTTATCACACTGGCAAAATGTTTCGCTAAGATTTAAATTTAAAATACACAAATCATTTATACAAAGCCTTTAATTTTATCTTTCAGTACGGAGTTTTTAAAAAAACAAACATTTTATTTCTCACCTGTAAACTAATAGAGGGAGAATTATCATTGAAATTTTGATATTTATCTTGAAAACCGTTAATAAATTAATAAATTAAGGTGAACACAGTCTGCAAAAAGTTTAGAAATTGGCGAATCTTTGCAGTGGTGTAGTTTTAATGAAGATATTTTGATTATAATGATGATGCACCACTGTCTCCATCCTTAGCCAATCACTGAAATGCTAAATGTGAACAATCACATGGACAGTGGAGTATAAAAAGT